ATCCGTCCTGAACAACACCATTATCATCCCCGGCCATCAATGACTTCTCCCTGCACATCTGTCAGCTTATACATATACTCAAGGTCTTTAATTTCAGATTTCGACTGTCCCAGACTAGCAGTATCCACCCGTGTGTGGATGGGGCTCGATCCAGCAAACTGAAGGCATGCCAATAGTAACGTTCATGTCAGAGGGGTGTCCTATGTATATAACCAGAGTATTCCACCTTCCGACTTACCCCATTTTCAATCCTTCATAGTAGAGGCATCTGGTACTTCTTCATAAAGCACACTTCTCTCTTTACAAAAATCACAGGCATCATTAAAACAGAGTCTCCCATCCTCCCAGCCATATCACACAAGTATAAATGAGGTTTAGATAGAAAACGGCACCCGAAACCCGGACAGAATCCCCAGTGGCGAGCGAGCGGTCTCGGGTGTCGGAACTCGAGTGGACCGACCCACTTTACATCTCGGGACTCGATCGAGTTCCGTTATTCTGCCACAGTGCCACTATGATCTGCCGCGTAAACTCGCAACTTTTTCTCAAAAGGGGATGGGATGTGATAACTCTTATTGGTTGTTCGATGATTTCTAAGATGGTTGTACCGTCGCACGGTGTGCGGGCCTCGGAGACATATGATTTATCGATTGGGTTCTAGAAAGGAACGGAAGGTATTATTGATCAAGGGGGCATTCTTATGTGATTTATCTTGGTTCCGTGCTCAGGGTTAAATAGGTAGTGGGCTGTTTTACTTATATATATTGCTTGTCGAAGGAAGAGAGACTGTTTAATATTCAGATCACTGTTCAGTCTATCGTCTGTCTCAAAACCGACCATGGAATCCGCAATCTCAGAGAATCTGACCCTCAAATGTGGGCTGCAAATGAAGAACCGTTTGGTGAAGGCTGCAATGGCAGAACATATGTCTGACGGTGATAACCTGCCTACCGAGCTCCATAATCGCGCTTATGCCGAGTGGGGACGGGGTGGTTGGGGTATGCTTCTGACAGGTGAGTGCCATTCAATGTCTCATGTGGTAATGAATAATGCGCTGAGTTTGTAACAGGAAACGTCCAAGTGGATAGAATGTACCTTGGAGATGCGCATGACCTTGCACCAAACCCAGCTATCGAACCAGAGCTGATCCGCAGATGGAGCGAGTGGTCCGCTGCTTGTACGAAACATGGCACGCCAACAGTCATGCAAATCAGTCACCCTGGAAGGCAATCGCCCATGGGTGCGGGCTCGCGGTGTCTCACTGCGAAGAATGTAGCGCCCAGTCCCATACCGCTGAACATTGGTTCGAGAATCGTGGATAGGGTCGCGAGCTCGGTGATTTTCGGTACACCGAGGGAGATGACCCAGAAGGATATCGATCATGTGGTTGAGCAGTTCGTTTATACTAGTCGGTTGGCATCACAGACGGGATTTCAGGGAGTGGAGTTGCATGCAGCACATGGATACCTTTTATCGCAATTTCTGTCGCCAACGGCGAATCTAAGGACGGATAGCTATGGCGGTTCGCCGTCTGGCCGTGTGAAGATTATTGTCGATATCATCCGTGCGATACGCAAAACGGTTCCTGCGGATTTCTGCGTGGGGATAAAGTTGAACTCAGTCGATCATCAATCCGAAAGTGCGTTGAAGGCATGTGTTGAGCAGCTCAAGCTGATCGTTGAGGCCGGTGTGGACTTTGTTGAAATCAGTGGTGGGTCGTACGAGGATCCCTCGGTAGGATGAACTGTCCCCTTGGCATGTGGTTGGTTGCACAGCTGATAATTGACCAGATGATGAGTTCCTCCACGTCAACTAAGCAGCCCGAAAAGTCCGCTCGGACAGTGGCTCGGGAGGCATTCTTCCTGGAGTTCGCCAGCGCTATCCGAGCGCAATTCCCAGGGACTCCATTGATGGTGACGGGCGGTTTCCGTACCCGAGCCGGTATGGAGAAGGCACTGACAGATGGGGACTGCGACATGATTGGAATTGGGCGTCCAGCAGTCCTCAAACCGACTTTACCGAATGACATTCTATTGAACCCAGATGTCCCTAAAGAGAGCGCACGGCTTGTCACGCAACAGATAAGCCAGCCTTGGATCCTGAAAATGTTGAGCAACAGATCGGTTGGGGCTGGCATTGAAAGTGTAAGTGAGATGTATGTGATTGGGGTGCCACTCGCTGACATTACTTCCTTTCTCAGAGTTGGTATAGTAGCCAGATAGAGAAACTCGGTCGTGGTATTGTCCACAAGATTGCGTGAGAATATTGCGGCCTTTATGCCAGGAGGGCCGAATTGTCTAATGCTATATGTTGCCGTAATTCTTTTTGTGTATTTCTACATGGTCATGAGTTCCGGGTTCAGCGAGAGATGCCACTTTATATAAATCTGCCTCGTTGCGTGACCATGCTAAGGCGAGGAACGGAAACTCATTTCAGTCCAATCAGGCATGATATGTTAGATTAATGATACTCATCGACGAAAAGAAAACGACATAAGAAAACGACCATCGTAGTAGAGGTGATAACTTTGGTTAAAGCTCATACCCCTGGATTGAGTCAGCAGGCATGATGTCCCATTCGGGATTCCACGAGAAGAGTTCAAGACTGTCATCCGCCATGCTATTTAGCAATGGATCGCTATCGCTCAGACCAGACAGGACATCTCCGCAGTTGGCTCGGGTCCATGACAATGGCCCGTCCGTGAACAGTAAATCAAGTATCTCTGCCGTGATAAGACTTTCATCAACCATGGCCAACAACAGGGTGTCAGGATTTGTGAGAGCGGTCCTGACATTATCAGCGAGCGGCCTTAACCGATCAGCACATACGGCTGCCTCGCCCCAGCGCTCACCGATGTTGGTGAGAAGCTGAAGACATTGAGGGATCGAGGTATGTAACATCTTATGAGCTCTACCTTGTAGCGGCTCATAATTTCGTGCTGACCAGCACGCCTCGAGCGAGATGACTGCAGTTTCGAAGAGAATGTGCACCCCATGCCAAGGATAGAATAGCCTCCGACGCCGCTCCTGAGCGAGGTAATCTTGGATCAATACTGATGATGCATCTAGCACAGCCTTCCAGTTGTCTGGACCTCTCAATCTTAGACGGGGCGTAGGCCGGTGGATGCGCGCCATGAGATGGTGAAACTGCACATGTTTGAATTCAAGCATATCATATTGTGTGTATGACTGTGCCTTCTCGTACCACCTTTTCAGTCTTTGGGTGATGCTCTCAATCCAGTCTTCTATCGTGCTGCTGCCGAACTTGGTTAAGTCTTCTTCCAGGTGCAGCACTCTATGAACCTCTGTTTCTAATGCACGATACCGACATATATGGTAAGCCACAGACATCTTGCTCGGCTTACTGGTGGAGTAACCCGGATTGATGTTTGCCTTTTCTGTTGTGGGGAGCTAGCCTTCTATGAGTTTCTTAAAGAGTCTCAGAGTTTGAGAAGCCTACCTTTACCGTGATTGCCTCCTCCGGGAATGACAGTGGAAGGCGGAGGTTCGTACATAATGACCTCTCCATACCGTACGCTACCCAAAATAGTATGCTTCGCTGACAAGGCTCTCCTTGAAACAGATGATTGCAGTCCATATAGAGCCCCAGATTGAGGACAATACGAACAGCGTTAGAAATGCATGTCCAATTGTCTACTCTCTCCGGGCACATATGTGCATAGTGAGCTAAGAGTAAAGAAACCTGTAGTGCCTGTATTTCGCTATGATCTGTTATGGTCTGTAGGTGCTTCAAAGCCGCGTTATAGAAAGACTCTGAAGCCACTCGAGCTTGATAATCGGCCTTCCATGTCAATGTCATGGCAGAAATTGCCAGTGCGATAAGCAATACAAAATACTCGAAATGCCCCAAACCAGCATCAGTGGGCACGTGGTGGATTGGTAGTGCCTTTGGGTCCTTCAAATCCTGACGCTGGATCCTGTCGAGTATTTCGTTTACCATAGTTTCTGACACGCAAGGGTACTGGGGCAGGTGGATGTCAACATAGTTTCGAATCATGCGGTTGATCGCCGAAAATGGAACACTACGTAAGTTAATCGGCGCCCCATGATTGTAATTATTATGTTGTAGGCTCAAATTCTTCTCAGGATTATACTGCACCCGTTCACGGGCTATTGCCAAAGGGGGACAGGAAGGTCGAAAGAACAATGGAGATGAGGCTTTAGAGCCCAGAAACGAGTTTTGGAAGGGGACGCCAATGGATATGGTAGCCTGCGCGACGGCCGTCGTGATGAGATACGGAACATTACTGGAGGCGGCGTTGAATGAGCGCAGCTGTGCTTCGAGCTCTTCAACCCGAGCCTCGAGTGACTTGACAAAGCTTGAAACACATAATTAGTCCTAGATGATCCCAGACAAGGTGTAGATACATACCTCCTTGGGACTGCTTCCTTAGAGCTGGGATCAAAGCCCAAGCAAGGTAAGCTTGCAAGTTTGCACGGAGTACATGCTGGAAAGATGAAGTCACACTATGGTGCATCGCCGTGTTAGAGGCGGAGTATGAATGTCACATGCATGTTACAGCAACGAAAAGAATGACTGGAACAAAGTATTATGGTATCAAACCTTCGTCTTGCGTTTCCGACAGCGTGAACATACTTTAGTCGAGCGCCTAGATCGTGGCATTGTGGGCGGCCAACGTGCATGAGACAGTATGAAGTCGCAAGAGTGATGCAAGATAAACAGAACAACTACTATATCTAGTAATAGTCACATATTTCCCCGCATCACCTGATAAGGAACAAAATCAACCAATTGTCTCGAAGCAAGCTACGTCTGTCTAACGCATCCAGGCTTAGCGTAATATCACAGTACCCCGTGATGATGCTAGACCCAAATTGGATGGGTTGCCTCGAGTCCATTCAATTCAACTCTCTCTCAAACAACATTCGGATCGATTCCAGTGGTCTGTAATTAAAGAAACCCTAGACGTGTCTTAAAGCGAAAAGATCGCTGATAACGAGGACCCAACATCTGAAAAGATGCTGCCGACTTGTACCCGTTGCAGAAGCCGGAGGATCAAGGTACCTATTACCCTTCCCTTATCGCAATCGTCACCCAACAGTAGACTAACGCACATTCTTCCAGTGCGACTCCTTGCTTCCAGCATGCGCAAACTGCTCCAAGCACGATGTGGAATGTACCTTTCGAGATGAAGCTTTACAAGTAGATGTCACCCGATGGTCTGCATGACAAAACCCAACAATAAATCAGCCGAAAGCTCATAAAAGATAGCTATCTCAAGACATTACAGGATAAAATCGAGAAGCTGAACACTGAATTAACGATAAATCCTCAGATCTCATCAAGGTGAAAGCACACTATTGTTACTTCACTCGGCCTGAAGCTAATTCGGACCTGGACAGCGAAAGTGGCCTAACAGAGACTACTCCTGATGGCATCCCAACAGAACCTTCCTCAATCTCCTCCTTCATTCTTATGCCCGGCTCTGGTAAAAGTCTTTACATTGACCTCTCACTTCCATCACGCATGGTCGAGGTCACACTCGAGGTACTTTCACAACGCCAGGAAACGCATGACAAGATGACTGTTGATGAGGAAAGCTTCTCATTTCCAGACATTCCACGTCTTGACAGGTCCACACTTACCCCGGGTGCGGTGCGTGGCCTTCTAAAAGATTACCATCGCCTTGTTCAACCGAAATATGACATTTTGGACGTCGGAATTTTGAGCTATGATGGCATGCACCTACGGAAGCTGCCTGAAACGCGAAGATTTCAGATACTTATGGCCTGCGCTATTTCCGCCACCCAAAAGTCGTACAAAGAGCCAATTTGGAAACCGTTCGCCAATACATGCCGTGAGTGGGCAAATGACTTCATTGCCCCAATTATATCTTCTGCCGACGCAGACTCTATGAAAGCTATTCTGCTCCTTGTCGTATACGAAATGGCCGATCCGACTCGAGGCGTTATCTGGGAACTCCTTGATGTAGCGCGAAGGACGTGCTTGCAGCTAGGCTGGAACCGAACCGCCTCGTCTTTCAACGAGACCACAATTAATGGGGAACCAGTATCGTATGATCCCATGAGAACTCGACTAATGCATGTACTTAGGGATATTGAAGGGTTGGTACAACAGCCATCATCATTGCCAACTAAGCTCATTCATTGTAGGTCACTACGAACGGTATCAAATCGGCCAACCTTGTCAATTGAGGATACAATATATAACGCAACAGACGAGGATATACCGTCTACTATATACAGAAAATTATTTCGAGCAATATACGGCACTGGTCGGACTGGCGACATCGGAAGCTGCCCTTTTGTTGGTCCAATCTTAGCCCTGATCGATGGAGCCGATGGTATTGCAGACACCGCTCCGGCGTCACAGGAAATCTGGCTCGTCCTCCTAGTCACCTGTGTTAGGCACAAGCAATGTGTGACTTGCTATCAGGAACCAGACGACCAGCAAGGGAAAGGAATGAGAACGTTAAGACTTAGAATTGTCAAGGCAGCCGCAGAGCTTTTATCGAGCACACACAGAGTAGCCTTCAGTGGTGACGGCTTTGTATCACCGATTACAGCATGCTCTAGGGCCCTTATATCTGGGTGCTCTATAGCGACTGCTATAGTGAAGAGATGGACAACCTTTCAATCGCACTTCAGAGACTTGATCCTATGCAGTGAAATCCTAACCTTGTTCTGCTCCCATTGGAAGGGTGGTCATTCGTACCTCCATGCCTGGCAGATTATTACGGACCTTTTGCATACCAGTATGGAACAAAGACTTTAAATCACACATACCAACCTGGCAAGCCCGGTGGCAAGCAAGCCATTGAGCTTTGGATCTCGGGAGAACGAAAGATTAACTTTCCGAAACCAGCTACAGAAATGGATTGAAAAAGTAGCTATTGGCAATTACTCTGGTCAACCTGATTGACATGTTGCTCCTCGAAGAATAAGAAGTCTGCCACCTTCAACTCTGACAACTTTGCCGTCCATAAAAGCGCCTGCCTTGCTGATTAACCACAGCATGGTCCCTACCATGTCTTCTTCGTTCCCTGCTCGGCCAGCTGGAGCTTCCGCCGCTAAATGGAGGTTTGAATTGACATCTGTTGTTGTCATTCCGGAAGGCACAATGCCTGGTGAAATTCCGTTGACGCGAACTGCAGATGAAATCAGATAAGTGTTGTAGGGAAAAAGCAATGTATGGTGCCACGAGGTACAACATACTGTAGTACTCTGCGAACTCCGCCGCCATGATCCGTACAAGATGATCAACTGCTGCTTTAGACGTCTGATAGCAGGGCACAAATTGATGGTTATGCACACTAGCTGGGCTGCTTAGCATAACCACGCAGCCTCGACCGTCGCCTCTCGCGGCTGCTGTGCCTAACAAGCATACTAGACCCGCAGTCAGATAATATGGCGCAAGCACATTCAAGCGAAAGGTTTGTTCCCAGCCTTGATAGGGTGCAGACAGAGACGCTTCTTCAAGGTTGTCCAGACTGCTGCCAGGCCTATAAGTGATATCGTTCATGTAACGGACTGCGGCGCAATGTATGAGAGCATCAAGCGAATTGCGAATTGACTTGATCGCGGCGACGACTGCTGTGACACCTGCCTCGCTGGAAAGGTCTTCATGTATCCTATACAATCACTCAGACAAAGCGTCATGGCAGGATATGTGTGGGGAACAGACGTGACTACAGAGGTTGGAGGTAACTCCTCAGATTGGCTGAGCTGTTGAAGCTCGGTCTTCGCTGCCTCCAAGGCACGCTCATTGATGTCTATCAGAATGGTGTTGGCCCCATTGACTGCACAACCCCTCGCCAACATACGACCTATACCGCTACCTGATAGCAACATGTTAATATTAAGCCCATTTTCATCCTTGGGTAGTACTTCACCTGCACCAGTAATGGCGACCCAACGATCCTTAACCTCGAAGAGCGCTTCCAGGCGCAAGATGCTTGCCATGGCAATAGGAAGGCTCAGTACAAAACATGAGATACTAGCCGATTTGTGGCAGAATTAATTGTACTTATCCCAGAATAGGAGGGAGTTGGCTCAAGATGGGTTGAAAACCGCTCGCTATTCCCCGAGGTTTCGGCCCACATCAACGCCTTCCTCCGACCTGCATATCGGAGTCCAGGAGTTGCTTCGCACATGTACCTTGGCTATGTGGTCCAGGAAACTGTCTTAACACCCCCAAAGTCATCACCATTGTCAGTCATTTGGCACACCAGCAATCCTGTCCACTATGGCTGCTCTAATAGACCAATCATGGCCTTACAACCTCGTCACCGTAAGCCTTGTGGCTACAGGAATGCTTACAATCACGATCCTCTCATATCTACGCTATCTCTTTGTTGATTTCCCAAAAATAATAGGTATTCCTGAGATCCCTGGCGGTGAGCTTCTGGCAGGTCACCTGTATCAGTTGGGAAACGACCACGCTACCACCGCAGAAATCTGGTCACTGAAATTTGGTTGGCCCGTCTTCCAGATCCGAATGGGACAGCGACGAGCCGTGGTGATAAATTCATTTCAGGCTGCCCGGGACTGGATGATCAAAAATCAGTCCGCGACATTGGACCGACCATCGTTCTATACCTTCCATAAGGTAGTTTCTGCAACATCAGGTATGCAACATATTGTGATAATCTTTCCACTTGAAATGTAATTGACATGTATAGCTGCCACTATCGGAACAAGTCCTTGGGATGAGCGGACAAAAAAGCAGCGACGGGTTGTCGGCTCCCTAACTACCGGCCCGGCTATCCAGAAGTTAAGACCAATGTTAGATCTAGAGATATTTACGATGATCTCGCAAATCTATAATGACAGTCAGAATGGGACCATTAGTATTGTGCCTCATATCTATCAGAAGCGCCTTGCGCTGAATATCATGATGATGTTCTGCTACGGGACGCGATTCGAGTCTATTACCGATCCTCTACTGCTCCAGATTCTTGAGGATGCTAGCACTATTGCGAGGTAAGGTCATTGACCTTTGCAAGTTCAGCACTGTATCTTCTGACTTTGACAGCTTTCGATCTACGAACTCGAACCCACAAGACTTCATTCCTTATTTGAGGTATTGGAAGAAGAGAGGAAGAACTGCTACAGCTGTTGAAGTCCGCAAACGTCGAGATAAATGGTTAGCAGCTATGTTGGATGGTGTTCGCGAAAGCCTTCAACTGCGAACTGGAGATGGGAAGTGTGTGGCCAAACTATTATTGACAGATAATCAAGATGGTCTTACACAACGTAAGTGCTTTCCGTCAAATGTAGATGAGTTACGGCTGATGATGGCTAGTCGATGTCAAGACAATACTTGGTGGCCTAATGTCGGGAGGCTTCGAGACCGTGTTCTCGACCATCATTGTTGCAATCGCTGTCCTGTCAACTAAACAGGGGCAATACATGCAAAACAAGGCCTACTCAGACATAACGAGTGTCTATAACTCACCAGAAGAAGCATTCGAATTCTGTGTATCTGAGGAAAAGTGTGTTTATGTCTCTTCCATTGTAAAGGAGACACTGAGATTTTATCCGCCCCTCAAACTTCTTCCAGCACGCCAAGCCTTTAAAGAATTCACTTACCAAGAAGCTGTGATTCCAAAAGGCATTCTCGTCTACGTGAACGCGCAAGCTTCAAACCGCGGTACGAGTGTTTAGATTGCTTTTGTTGCTTTCCAGTCTTAGGCTAACCTGTTGAGTTCCAGACAAAAACGTATATGGTGCAGATGCAGATGATTTCCGACCAGACCGTTGGCTAAAGGCAGAGAATAATATCCCTCCACCCTGTCACTTTGCCTTTGGTGCAGGTTCCCGCATGTGTACTGCGGTCAACTTTTCAAATCGGGTCCTCTACGCTACCATCCTTCGTCTCATTGTCTCGTTCAGAATGGTAGAAGATGAAGAAAGTCCGCCGAATATACACTACGTTCACTATAAGCGCGATCCGACAGCATCGAATGCGGTCGCGTCAGACTTTAAGATACGGTTCATACCAAGGGACGAGAAGGCCTTGCAGCGGATGTTTGAGCGATCGCAAGAGCAGTGCGCAGCTAGTATAGCGGAGACCGGTGCAACGGCCATGGGGAAGCCATGAGTATAACAAGGAGGCATCTTCTCGAGAGAAAGCTATGGAAGCAATTAGCGGAAGCAGTCGGGTGCTCCTTTTTTGAACACTCTTGATGGATTCGATTACAAAATGATAGACATGTCAGACGCAAACAACAGCAGGAATTGCTGGGAACAGCAGCTGAGAAATGAGGAGCACTTGATTTGAGAAGATAACACAATCTTTCTATCATGATCTCCTGAGTTACGGCTTTTACATTGGGGACCATGCACTTAACGCTTGTCCACAACCAAGTAGCTAGTAGTATATAGCTTGACAAGGAAGGCTAGTAAATCCCCTTCGGCATACCATCCATCTTCCACACTCGGGCGTCTTTCATCACAAAGTCGACCTCCCTCAAAGCCCCTGGATCTTCCACTGGATTTCCACACAAAGCAATGATATCCGCCTGCGCTCCCTCCTCAAACCATCCAAACCGTCTCCCACACAAATCACCTCCGCAAGCCTCCCACCCACCAATCGTACAAGCCTCCAGAACATCACCCACCGGGATACCCGCCTGGATCATGAGCTCTAACTCTCGAACATTCTCACCATGAGGATATGTCCCTGTGTCCCCCCCACAAGCCAATCTCACGCCCATCTCATGCGCCCGTTTGACCCCACTCAGGATCTGATCAAAGCGCTTCGCGTGCAACCTCTCCGCTATAGCCAGCGTAGGCACCATAATCACGCCCTTCTCCACCATGTGCTCAAACATCTCGTCCGTAGTAAAATACGCATGCTCAATGGTGGATACACCCGCCTCGATCGCAGCCATGGCACCCTCAAGCGTCGCACAGTGCGCAGAAACCGGACACCTGGCCAACTTTGTCTCCGCAACAATCGTCTGCATCTCCTCTTTCGAGAACACCATATAATCCGGATTCGGTTCTTTCGGAGGATGCAAGACCCCGGCAATATACGGGTGTTGTTGCGCAGGGGGATATCGCATGATTCTCCTTCGGTAGTCGGCGAAGAACTTGATGATGTCTGCACCGGCAGCTATGCGGCGACGAACGGCCTGGCGACATGCTTCGACACCGTCAACGGCGTCGGCACTGGAGGGGAGGCAGTGACCCCCGGTACTATTTTCCGTCCGGCATTCAAATGATCCGGTGCTGGCGAGAACTTTGGTGGCTACAAATAGGCGGGGGCCGGGAGTTAGACCTCGAGCGATGGCATCGCGGATGTTGGCATCGAAGTCTTGCATTCCTTCGGAGCCGAGGTCTCTGAATGGGGTGAGTTGATGCGTTCTCTTACCTTTGGGTTAAAGGAGGGTTACACGCATACCTATAGGTTGTGTATCCGGCTAGCAATGCCGTGCGACAGTGGTTAACTGCTCGGACCATGCGCTCGCCTATACTTTCATCGCGCTTCTGCTGAAGCGCTCCTGCCTCACTGACTTGGTCAATACCACTCCTGATTGAGTACTAATCCTTCGAATGAACCTACTCGTATGAATGAAGGAAGATATGCGTGTGTGCGTCTACCAGTCCAGGCAACACATACTTCCCCCGGAGGTCTATGTCGCCAGGCTGTAGTAGTTCCGAGAATGGAGTGTTCGAGTCGCGTTCAAAGACACGCACGATTAATCCACTGACAGGATCAACCGTGATTGAGACATTGGGGCGGAATGACTTGAGCCTCGGATCGAACAAGGAAGATGTATGAATCGTGAAGTGAGACATAGCGAAGTCCACCTTCCCATGTATCCAGCTCGACACCGGGAAGGCTCATCGTCGTTAGAAGTTCATGAGTGCCAGTTGCTGAATGAGGGGTAATGGGCATAAAGGGCCTAGACTGTCGCAGCAGCGCGCAGACAGTATGGAGGCAGTCGTTAAACGCCGAGCTGACGTGGTGCCTCATACACCCCTGCAGCGGTGCTTGTTTATCGGCTATCATCCGGAGTCTGGATGACCCCGCTCGAGAGATAGGGTTTCTCGGTGATAAGATAGTCTGAAGTGGGGGTAGTCCCCAGACACAGCCAAAGGATCGGCTTAGCCCGTCTGTTTTCTCGCTTTTGCGGCGGTTCACCGAAAGGGCTTCATCTGTTGGAGTTTCAATGCGTGTGAGGAACTCATCTGAGATCGTTAAATGAAATTATTTGGAAACATGCATTGACACGACAAGAAAACTAGTATTATCTCCTACACCAACATGGAAACCACAAACAAACACGTCGTTTTCGACGTCGTAGGTAAATCCGATCCCCAAAAAACAATCCCTTCATTTCTCACTCGTTTTAACATTCATCCCAGGAACATGCGTCTCCTACGACGCCTTCTTCTCAGCAATCGACTGCCGTCTCGGCCCCAAGCTTCGAACTTATAACATCAACCCCCGACTATTCGGCTACGCGTGGATGGAAGCCGGCGAAAAGGAATACACCTATCTAAGTCTCTCAACCCACTATGTCAAATTCTTCGACGTATTCCGTTCTATCTTCTACCGGACACTCTGGCAGGCAGGGATCCTGAACCCACGGGAATTCGCAACCGATGAAGACCGTGAATATCTACTTGCATCGTATCGCGGATTGCAAGTCCGTGCGGGGCTATCTGAGTGTTTTGAGAAGCTAAGGAATGCCGGGTTCACGGTTTGGGCTCTGACGTCGGGGGATACATCCCGGGTGGCTGGGTATCTTGCTGAAGGTGGAGTGAAGTTCCCAGAGGAGAACTTTGTATCGTGTGATACCATTGGAGTGGGTAAGCCGGCACCAGAATCGTATCGATATTTGTTGGAGAAGTTTGAGGGGGAAGGGTCGGTGGCTTGGTTTGCGGCGGCGCATATGTGGGATGCGGCTGCGGCGAAGCGGTGCGGGTGAGTGATTTTTCTAGTATTTATATTTGGGTGATCGTGTGCTAAGTTGAATTGTGCAGGTTCAAGGGGGCTTGGGTGTCTTTATGGGAGAAGGAGAAGTGTTCGGATATCTTTGGCGAGATGGACGTTGAGGCGGATAGTTTGCCTATGCTAGCGGAGGGGATTATTGCAGCTACTGCTGCGATGGAGACCGAGTAAAGGGATTTGTCACCCTAAAATAATATATGAGTGATGTGAATGAAGAAATTGCTTATTGTTTGGATTTTCATCTCACGAAGGCATAGCCTTCGCAGTTATACCCTAGAACTTATATTGACTGTCCCCAAATCCTACTCACAACTTGCTCGGGAAATGCTCCTTCTCCAACCCCTCCAATATCTCATTCTTCGTACTCTCCAACCTCTCCTTTGTCACCCGAAACACCGACGGTACATCCGTATCCTCAAACACAACACCCTCCCTCACCATGCGCGCAACCGCTTTCGCGCAAAGCAGAATCAGCGGCATGCCATGTCCAGAGAAGCCCGCCATAACAGTTTGATTCGGCTTCCCAGGCACCTCGCCCACATATGGCATGAAGTCAGAACTATACCCCATAACTAGACCCAGTCAGTAAGTACTTGCCCCAGAGAGAAGTAATGGTAAAAGAGGATAAACATACTCCCCGTCCACACTCGATCCGTGTACGCCTCACTCCCCTCCCAGCCAACAAAGTGTCTCTGCATTAAGCCGTCAAAGTACGTCTTGGCAGGCTCAATCAACTTCCCATCATCTACAACATCATACCAGTGTTTCGTATCTGTCCAGAACTTTGTCTTGGCCCCACCAACAATAATACTCCCGTCTGGTCTGGGAATCAAATAATCGTACATGGACGGCCCATACCGGATACTATATGTTTGGGGTAGGAACGGCGCCACCTTGCCCTCTGGTACAACGATGCGACTGCATATCCCGCGCACCGGGACAATGTGGTTCTTGAACTGCGGGGCCAAATGAGATGTGTATGCGTTCGTCGCAAGAAAAATTTTCTTCGCTTTTATATTCCCCCTTTCGGTTCGTACTACCCAGCGACCATCGGGTAGAGGGTTCTCATCGATAGATGTAACAGGAGTCATGGTTTGGAGATTCGCGCCTCGGTTAACGACACCTTGGAGGAGATGCATTACCATCTTATAGGGCCAGATGTGGCCTGCTGTGAAGGTGAAGCAGTTAAGGGCGCCTTTGACGCCGGATACCTGTATTGAGTAACGGATTAGTATGACTGTAGGGCGAAAAGTGGGTAAGTGAGAGGGGATAAACGCACTCGCTCAGCATCCTTGCGTGGCGTAAATTGTACATCTTTCAGATCAGCAACACCCGACTTAACTAGTTCTGCATACGCGGCCTCAATCTCTTTTGCTAATTGCTCGTCCAGGGTTGCATCGCACGCACGAGTGAGGACGAAGTCGCAGTCGATGTTCTCAGTCTCGACTAGCTCCTTTACGGCGTGGACTTGAGAGGCTTCGAATTTGGCTACCTCTACTGCGGCCTTGACACCGTACTTTTTGATATGCTTGGGGAGGTTAAGGTAGACGTCTGGTTTGAGATGCCCGCCTGGTAGGGTGGTTAGTGAGTGATGGGATTGTGGTAGGGGCAAGGGATGAATTTACCATTTCTACCGGTAGCTCCGGAGCATGCTTCTCGTGCTTCAAGAATGACCACTGATGACGGCGAGGAGTTATCCTTGTAGAGGAAATGTGCTAAGGCTGCGCCTGCGAAGCCGGCTCCAATTATGAGGATTTCGCATTCAGCAGGGAGGTCCGGGGTACTGCGGTGGCGGTCGAGAGGATGGGGATGGGTGCGCCAGAAGGGGGTGGTGGAATTGGGGACCGGAGCAGGCATGTTTGTTTGCCAGTGTACGGATGATTCACTGAAAACGCAGGTTGTCTCCCGCGGGGTTGAAGGGTCATGCTTTGGGGCCGTGTTGTATATACGACTGTAGGGGTAGATGGGAGCGGACAGTTGGCCGATCTCTACTCCACTTTCGGCTTATCGCGGTGGGGAAGCTTGCTCGCTCGGGCTTCACCGATTATCTCTGGCAATCAAGGTCATTATCGCTGAGGTATGAAAGGGGAAAACTTGGGGATAGTTAATGGTAGGAATGTATTAGGGAGAGTCATCTCGGCCTTGAGGATTGCATACTAAAGTGCCATAACCGTCTCTTATTGAAGTAGGGTGTTGAGTTACTGCTATTGGATACCTAAGGGACACGTTGGGGCAGATTGATTTCCTTATCAGATAGCGATTGCTGTTTATCTGATATCAGCACTTGAGGGGTTGCGTCTTATGAAGGCCGCATCTAGATATAAAATTTTTGTACACTTTGATGATTCTCACAGAACAGAGACGTACATGCTCTCAACATGGACGTATCAGACATGGACCGAAAATCGACTGACAAGAATGACGACCCCGTCATCAAGGCTACGAATGTGGAGGTTGGGGACATTTTAGTGTCTGGTACGCTACTTCCTTCGCTACAGCTGAACGTTGTTGACATTATACAGACTATACTGAGCAACAATATAAGAAATTGACCCGGAAGATCGACTACTATCTCATGCCAATGATGTATGTGCTTAGCCACGTCTGAGAAAGGCTTGTCTAACGGTACAGGTTCTTCTTCTACGGAATTCAGCAGGTAGACAAGACCTCAATTAGTATTCAAGCAGTAAGTTTTTTAATTTGATAAATGAATGCGCTTGCTGACAAGTCCAGATATTTGGAATGGAGGATGACTTGAATCTACACGGCCAACAATATCAATGGCTAACCACGATGTAAGTAACGATTCCTAACATACAGAACATACTAAACGTGACTGCAGCTTCTATCTTACGTACCTTATCGGAGAGTTCCCCTCTGTCTATCTCCTACAGACATTCAATGTTGGCTTGGTCCTATCCATCTATATTACATGCTGGGGTGGGTGATGAAGGCAATCCATGACTGCACTTGGCCAACGTAATAATATTGTCCAGGAATATGTCTCATATGTATCAGCGCAGTCCAAAATTGGTCGCAATTGATGGCCCTCCGTGCCCTCCAAGGCTTCTTCGAAAGCAATATATCTCCTGGCTTCCTCCACATTACAGGCGTCTGGTACCGCACCGAGGAACATTCCAACCGCTCCCTCTTCTGGCAGTCATCAGAGGGCTTCTTCTGTATTGTCTGTAACCTTATTTTATACGCCATTGCTAGACACGTTGAAGCCCACGGCGGTATAGCGGCCTGGAGATGCATTTCGCTTTTCTTAGGTTCGCTTACCCTGGCCGGTGCAGTAGCCGCCTTCTTCTTGCTCGGTTGCCCACACGAGGTACGCTGGCTGAGTGAAGATGAGAAACGCATGGCGTAGGTTGTCGCTCCATCTCCATCGCCACTGGAATACTTACCATGACAGGTCCGCCCGCACGTTGGACAACCAAGTTGGTCAGGATACGACGGGTAAAGAATGGTCCTGGCCGCAAGTTATCGAAGCCTTCAAAGATCCCCAACTCTATTTTTCCTTCGCCAATTCTTTCCTTGGCAATATTCCCAACGGGCAAGTCAACACGCAGCTCCCCAATGGCGAGGTCAATGGGTTAATTCTTGGTTGAACACAGAGGCATTACAACCTTTAGCTCCCTCATGTACGAGACCTTTGGCTTTAGTGACTGGGAATCCATGCTTTACGGCTGTCCCAGATATGGTATAACCCGTTTCACCCCAGTTAGAACTTGTACTAATTATATATCTCTCGCCAGCTGCCTACGTAGTCAGCTTCATAATCGTTGGATTATACACTCGCAAAGTCAAAAACCAGCGCATGTGGGTCATGGTTGCCTGCTGCATTCTTCCTTTCATCGGCCTCCTAGTCATGTCCCTTCTCCCTAACACGCCCCAATACAAGTGGGTTAAATGGGGAATGTTCATGATGACAGTTGTCTTTTCTATGGCTATATTTCTAGGTTGGAGTCTTAGTATGTTCACCTACTCACCAATTGCCATTCAGAATCATCTTTTACTAATTAGTCACCCCCGGCTAGTCCCCTCCAATGTCGCAGGTAAAACGAAGCGATCCGTCGTTTCCGCCATGACGTTGATTGCCTATTGCGCCGGAAACATGGCTGGTGCGCAGGTATTCAAGACCAAAGATGCGCCCCGATATGTCTCGGGAACGATCGCGTGCTCGGTGTGTTTTGCTCTCGAAGTGATTGTTATTCTTGCCTGGAGGGGCTGGTATATGTGGGAGAATCGACGCCGGGAGCGAATTGTACAGAGCATGGGCATCTCTAAAGAGGAGCAAGAACGGCGGGGTAGAGAGTTGGGGGCGCAGGATGTTACGGATATGAACAATGTTTATTTTCGGTATACCATGTGAGCGAGGGTTTTGGGCTCTAGGTAATCGGATCAGGCTCTCTCTTGCACGTTTCTCATTATCATAAAGAAATAGCACTTGATAAAGAGGATGAAAAAAACTATCCCGTCTGCCCTAGTAGAGTCTCCAGACGCTTATCACCCGAATATCGTTCCAAAGCATTTATCTTCCAATCAACCCAACTCATATCTGCATCTAAGTTTACGGCATTTCGAAGGCCTTGAAAAAGACCCAGAAAGCCCTCCCAATCTGCAAAGTCATATCCACAACAGAACTGGAACCGATGAAGCAGTCTCCCATTCCTGACTATCTCTGCAAGTCCCTTGTTTCCCTTTGCCTCAAGTATATCTGCAAAAGTAGATTCATCCCCGCCAATGGTATTAACTCTGTCGTAAAAGTCAGAAACTGGGAGAAACATGACGGGCGATTTAAAGGCTTCAGTCTTTGAGTCTGTATGAGCCCATTCCCAATCAACGATTCCCGTGATATTGTATTCACCATCAACAAGAATATGATCACCCTTGTCATCAGCGTGCCGTAGATAGAATCGTCCGTCGTCATAAGTGTAGTGTTCTATGATTCTTGGGATGCAATCAAGAATAAACCGGTGCACTAAGAATGCATCTATCTCGCGTCCTGCATAACGTTCCCCTCTCATGATCAATCTTATTATGAGCTCAATGCTAGATTGGATGTAGTCTCTCGGGTCCCTGTATGGCCTGAGGGGAACCATCTGCGAGTTGACGTATTCAGTCCATGATTCCCTGGCAAACGAGGCAATGTGGTCACTTCCTGGTTCATCCATAGATCCCATACTGTTGAACGCAAAACGTTCCAACTCAATGTATACATCCGCTAGCTGGGTCATGACTTTCTTCCTTTGCTCCCGAGACGCGAGAGACAACGTAATGATTTCCCCGGGAGGTTTTCCATGAGTATATATCCAACGCTGACGGGAGTTTGCCCTTCCAGCGCGTAGTCGAACACCTTCGGAACAGGAATTTTGGTTTGGCCAAGGAACTGGAGAGTCGCAACTTCGCTGCGCATGATATAGTCACGTAGGTCGGGCGGTGGTGAAGTAGCGTTATATCTTCGAATACGAGCCAACCACCGAACTCCATCAGCAAACAAAATCTCTATGTGGTAGTTCATGCCACCCATGACCGACGAACGTAACGATCTGTCATACACAAGGGGCCGGGGAAAGAGCAGGCAATACCATTTCGTAAATAGCTTGCTTTCTCGAGAAGTGCAGAGAAGTTCAAAGATTCTAGTAACCTGGTTATCTCGCCCCTCTCAGCTTCCTGAGCAGCTAGATCGTAGAGTTCCCCGTCCTTGATGTGGATTGTTAGATATGCCAGGACTTGAGAGCATGATATATTTCTTCTCCTCACCTGCCACTTGGGACATCCGTGTTCAATATGTTCAGCACAGAAATGACGGTCGCAAATAACACAGTCACCGTCTAATTGTACAGCCGGCCTGTTGCAGTCTTCTCGCACCCCCACATGGCTTTGGTTGTTATGTGGAACTGGTTGGAGGGGTTGGGTGCATCAGCAAGGACATCGCATATTCTTGGCGTTTTAGCCAGTTCATCAACAAAGCTTTTGGCGGCACTTGGACCTTAGCTGAGTGGGATTACGACTTATGCAACAGAAGGGTAAGGTTACTCAATACTCGAGTCCTGGCAGATTACAGGAACTCTCATATATGACAAAGGCTTGAACCTGCTTCTAGGGCAGCTCATCGTCGCTGCGGTGATCACCTGACAAGTCACGCTGGGGAATCTTGGTGACTAATCCTCATATCCAGACTTTCGCCGATGCCTGCAAAGAACATCCACTTACCACTTGTAGCGCCAATTCAGCAATGCTTAGAAAAGGTCATCCTTCATGATACTTGAGCTGCAGTAATTGGGAAGATGATACATACCTTTCCGACCCCAGGGTCAGTGCCTAGGCGCCGCAAAGTGCGCCGGGCATGCCGCTTCTGTCGAGAGCATCGAGTGCGGTGCGACGCAGTTGCCCCCTGCCATCAATGCGTGATAAACAAGGTGCACTGTAGCCGTCTAAGGCGCTCTGACAGCCCATCTGGTCGGGCAGATGCTGCTATGGATGCGTCCCCATCCTCACTTCACGTCACCCCTAGAGCCAGTGTCACCAAGGGAAGACAGACACCCAGCAGGGGCATGACACCTTGTCCCGACGACACAGAGACAGCTCCGATCAACTATCGCTTGGACTCAACACTTGGCTTCATCGATCGCATAAACACCTTCTGCGCTGGTGTATCCCAACTGTCCTCTCGGTGGTCCCCTGCGGGCCCCCCTCCTGCTTATTCATCACCTTTTACTGCCCATGATACAGATGGCACAGCTGCGATTGAATGTGATTTATCCTCCGCTCAAGTTAATCGCGTTCTAGAGATATTCTGGGCACGGTTACTCCCACAAGTTCCAATTGTTCGCCGAGAGGATCTAGAGCGCCCTCCTTCCCACGAGGATACTGCGACTGGCTCCCATCCACAACCTCTGCGGGATGCTGTAACAGCCTACACCATGCAGTATATATTCTACTCTGGCCTCAATGCTCGGCTTCTTGGATTGCAATGGAAGCAATTCAATAGGAGCAATCGGTGCTCAAAGAAGATTGGCATGCCTTATTTCCAACGTTGTCTAACAGGCGCGATGCAATATTCAACGTTTGCGAAGCCCTCCCTTCCAATCCTTCAGTGCTACTGTATCATGACCTTGTACTTACTGGACGCCGGACAACACCAGGCGGCGTATAACATGATCGGGCTTGCTGTTCGGATTGCTCGATCATTAGACCTTGACTGTGACCCGCCCCCTCAAGCATCCCGGGAGCAGGCGGAGCTACACTCTCGTATCTGGTGGACCTTAGTCCATCTCGACTTCCGCTGCTCAAGGCACCTTGGAAAGCCTATTAGTGTACAGCTTCCTATATCTAGATCTCCGCCACCATGTTGGATGTCGAACGATCCGCCCCGTCCGGTACGGTTCCCATATCATAATGAATCGATTCGTCTCACATGTGCGGCTCTGGCTGTCATTGAGTCAATGGCACACCACGAAAAGACAAGAAAGACACATGACATCGAATCTCAGGCAAATGTTTTGACAGATAATTTGCATCATTTACGTGTATGGAAAGACGAATTACGCCAAAACACATGGTTCAAACACCTTCAACTGGATGTCCAAGATGTGCCCATCTCACGAAAGTATTTCTGTGGTCCAGGAGAGAATGGGGGTGGCGAGGAGTACAATGACTATATGATCAAAGCGCCACTCCAAATTCAAACGGAGGCCCTGCTTGAACTCCAATACCACGATGCCATGATTAGTCTGCATAGAGTTTTTATCCAATTCCCTCGTCAGCCCGCTATGAACCGAGAAAATCCCCTTGCCGGTGCACATGCTGCAACTGCTCTGAAACACGCCTTGGCAACGATCCAAACAGTGTATTCTTGTATGACCGCGCATGATATATTCTATGGATCATGTGAACTTTATCAATATCAGTGGAATGCCGTGCTGACGCTGATGGGTTTTATGTTGGCTTTTCCTTTCTGTCCGCGCTGTCCACAAGCACGAGGCTACGTCGACCTAGCCCTGGAAACATTTGACTTTGCGGGTTATCAAAATGACGCCGCAGTTCGTGCAGCATGTCTCACTCGTCATCTATGTGAGAAGGTGGACAAGCTGACTATGATGTTAAATATTAATCTCCGGCGGGGTGTGACCGAGAGCACAAAGGATGTACCTGCGCCGACAAAAGATGGGTTGACACGACGGCTGAATCAACAGTCTGAATCGGTAAACATGGACTTGGATGCTGGCAATACGAACATTGATCAGTCCTTTTGGTCTCTTCCACAGAACCAGACAAGTGATGATTTGTTTTGGCCCTGGGCGGATCTCGTTGATCCCAAGATCTGGCCCAGTTATTGCGATGGAGTCAACGAAGCCTTCACAGACTTTTCTCATTCAACGTTGTTCGGGGATTCTGCTGTTCATGCATCCCAGGATTTATAGTAGCAATAAAATTACCCTAGATACAGGCCTTTCTCACACCATCATATGTACATTGAACGGGTTGTTCCTGAACTTATCCCTGGGCACATTTCTCTGCTGTTTATCGCCGGACAATCAAACAACCGCACCAGCTAAACCCGAATAACAATCTTTCCAAAGTGCGAGCCACTTTTCAGATATCTGAAAGCATCCCTCGCCTGGCTGAAAGAAAAGACCTTGCAGATGACAGGATGTATGTCATGTTTCTCACAAAAATTGATCAGCTCCTCAAAGCGATCCGTCGGTCCGTTAACAGATCCCTTCAAAGTCAGGCTACGACTCAGAGTGAGCAGATTAACGTTCTTTTGCTCTCCAGAAGCTTGAGTCTTGCCAGAAGTATACCCAATGCAGTTGATCAGGCCACCGTACGCAGCACACGCGAAGCTCTGACCTAATGTCTGCGACCCACCCGTTTCAAGAATAATATCCGCTCCATGTCCGTCAGTGACCTCCATCACTTTGTTAGCCCATTCCGGTATCTGACGATAGTTAATACCAAAGTCGGCTCCGAGGTTCTTCGCCTTGGCTAGTTTCTCATCAGATGATGAAGTAATTATAACTGTACCAGAGAGTCAGCCCAATCATATATCCAGGGACCAAATAACATACCCTTCGCACCAGATGCCTTCGCAATCTGCAATCCAGCGATACTAACACCTCCGGTTCCCTGAAGAAGAATGTACTCTCCATGACCCCCATTCTGTCCCAACGGCCGCGTGCCATTGATCGCCATCCACGCCGTAACACTCGCGATTGGCAGCGTGCATGCCTCCTCATCACTCATGTGCTCGGGTGCCTTGACCAACGCATCCTCTGCGAAAACACGATGCGTTCCCAGCACACCATGCTGAGGGAGGCCCAAGCTGGTAGCGAGCGCTCTCTCAGTCAGTTGTCCTGTCTTGTGGTCTGGGACGAATAAGGAAACCACGCGATCGCCGACTTTCCATTTGGTGACGTTTTTGCCGACGCTTTGGACAACGCCGCACATGTCTGAACAGGGGACTATGTTTGGCACTTGCTTGATTGCGCGGTGGTGGTTGTATTCACCGTTGATCACTTAATTGAGAAGATTAGTTGCTGGGTGCTTGACATGGCGAGGGGAAATGACGCCTACCTTCCATGTCACGGTAGTTCAGCGATATAGCCCGGACCTGAACAAGGACCTCGCCTTGTCCGGGTGATGGAAGTGGTACATCTTCTGTCTTGAGGCCGTCGATGCCGTCGAAGTGGGAGATGTAATGTTGCATGGTGTGGGTGTTGGAGTATACAAGGAGGTAAAACGGAAATTTTTTGAGGTTTCACAGAGGCTGATAAGTTGCTCGTACATTTATATGCCTTGAAGTTACTTTGTTAGGTCTTTCGGTTTCAATGTGATGGAAGTAAATGAACTTGAACGCTCCCGTCGTTCCTATTGGCTCTCACGGGGCAATGAGGAGGGAGAATATTCACGAGCACCATCAACCCCGCCAGATAGAAATGATTGGTAATCGAGAAATCCATGCTCTGTGGAGACAACAAAACTCTCTCCTTGATTCCGAAAGAATGATCGAAAGCGTACTCCGATACTACTATGAGTGGAGTAGGAGAAAATTGATCTTGACCAATAGGAACTTCAGGAGCAGTCCGTAAACAGTTAGCGCGCCAGTGACAACATGGAGGTATTGTTTTACTAATCCCATATCCAGACATACATTACTCCATTCATGAGTAAGACAGTTCAAGAGCGCAAATTAAGAATTATCACCTCCCATATACCTCAATTCCATATCATAGAAAGCAATGTCCCACAACATCCTCATCACCGGAGCGTCCGGCTACCTAGGAGGCACCGTCCTAGCGCGCTGGAAGAACGCAAACCTCCCGCCATACGGCATACTATACGCATTGGTCAGATCAGAGGATCAAGGCGAACAAGTGCAAAGACTATATGGTGCAGAGCCCCTTGTTCTCAATGTCAGCGATCACGAAACCGTCACCCAGACCATCATCGACAAGCAAATCACTATTGTCTACTACCTCATCGATGCCTACTCAGCAAAGCATCAACCGGCATTCATCAAAGGCCTAGGAGAGGTCAAGAGGAAAACAGGCAAAGACGTACATTTTCTGCACATGACTGGCTCAAAGCAGTTTAGTCGACATGCGGGCGTCTCTGTCGATCAGGTACTGTTGGATACGGATCCGAGATTGTACGATATTCAGAAGGGGGCGAAGTCCAAGCATCAATTTGCTGCTGAAGTGAGTTGACGCTACAATATGTTTGTTGCTGTAATGGGCCAATGTTACTAAGAAACAATAGTCTGCCAACACCAATGCCACTATCATCGACACAGCCGAAGCACACGGCGTGTCGAGCTACATCTTCGCTCCGTGTCTTGTATACGGCCAGGGGGAAGGGTTCGGCAGCCGGACTTCGATCCAAGATGTTGATATTGTTCGCGCTGCTTTAAAGCTGCGTCGGGTTTATAAGGTTGACACTGACGATCCTGTATGTATCCTCCGTACTAGTCACCATTCGCATTTATATCTCCTAACAATGAATATTCAGATCTGGCCTGTGTGCCACGTCTCCGATACAGCAGAGTTGTACCTGCACATTCTCCGGAGGATACTATCAGGTGAAAAAGTCATCCACGGCAAGAATGGTTTTTTCTTGCTGCTTCGGGCAGTGTTGCGTGGAATAAAGTTTACAGCGCGATGGCTAGGGCGCTTGCAAAGCATGGATTGGTTGAGGATGATGTTGTTGCGCAGGCTGATGATGAAGTGTTGGCGAAGATGGGCGAGGCGCTTGGTGTTGCACCGGATGAGGTTCCGGTGCTTATTGGGGGGAGGTAAGTAATGTTCTATTGGATGAGGGTGTTTGAAAGCAGTGCTAACTGTGAGACTAGGTGTATGTTTACGCCTGAGCATGGACGGAAAATTGGATGGGAGCCGCAATATCCGCCTCACCATATACTCGATGTGACCGACGATGAAGTTGAGTTTATCATGAAGGAGCTGGAGGGCGGTAATAAGCGACCGGATATTAGGTAGTAGTGAATATACTTCCAGTCCCCATCAATGCAGGCAGTAGGTTAAGTATTGTGGACCTGGAAATTGAAATGTACTGATATTATCCAGACCATCTAGCCAGAATCCTAAGCAGATTGTCCATTCTATTTGCTTATTTTATGCTACATTATCACATATATGTTATTCAGCATATCACACTCTTCGACGTGTGATTTTCAGAAATGGAAAACAAAGGAACCATAGCGGAAGGAAATCGATCTGCAGTCATCACAAGTCTTGACCAGGGTTGAAACGGCGATGGATACCACTAAGCCTCTAGGTTTACCACCCCTGTACACTATACAGCACTAAGCACAGCACTAATTTAGCAGCACCCAAGCCTTGAGGCTACTCTTAAAAGCCGCTGCGCCCTCTTCCAGCCATTGTCCCCTCCTTCCCTTCTTTGCTTTCTTTCCAATTCTCACCCATTGATTTATCGGCCTTTATCTCCTCGTATCTTCGCTTCACCATGGAACAACCACCCCTCAATGGCAGCCATGCTCCTCCTACGGCTAGCAATTCCCCGCTGAAAGCCTGCGTGCGTGCATCCCCGAAACCCATGCAGACGCAAGACGCTAACTCTGCTATGTGTGTAGTGCCTCAACCTAGTTTCAACTTTAGGGCCAGACAAAATCTCGTTCCCGAACACAGCTACATACGAAGCGTCTCAGAAATCGTATTTTGCTCAGCAGAACAGCGATCTGTACCCATCCTGCGTGGTGTCTCCGGAATCAGCCGAAGATGTGTCTAAAGTTATCACCAGCTTGGTGAAGACCGCATCCGCTCTGCCTGCACACGAGCAGGCCAAATGCCAATTCGCCATCCGGTCCGGCGGGCACAACTCCTTCGGGGGAGCGTCCAACATCCATCACGGCATCACCATAGACCTGCGCGCTCTCAACACCATCAAGATTCTGCCTCCGACCGGACACAATGGTGATAAACAGACCGTCTTCGTTGGAGCAGGCGCCACGTGGGGAGATGTCTATGCCCACCTCGACCCGCTGGGTCTTTCAGTAGCGGGCGGCCGCGCCGCACAGGTCGGGGTTGGCGGACTGACGCTCGGGGGCGGCATGTCATATTTCTCTCCCCGTTACGGGTGGACGTGCGATAACATGGTCGGCGTAGAGATAGTCCTGGCCGATGGAACGATTGCGCATTGGGATGAAGAAACTCAGCACCCGGAGTGGCTGGCAGCGCTGCGTGGGGCTGGAAACAGTAACTTCGGAATCGTAACAGGCTTTTTTCTGCGGGCCTTCCCACAGGGCCCCATTTATGGCGGGTCTGTCTATTGCAGTACAGACACCATTGATGCTCAGCTACGCGCATTTGCGGAGCTGGCTGATCCCAAGGCAGCGAGCCACTATGATGAGAATGCCTCGTTAATCACCAGTTTTGGATTCGCCGGCGGCAAGGGAGCCGCTGTGGTGAACAGCATTGTGTATACCGGGGAGATGGAGAAACCCAAGAAGAACGGAGAAGATATCCAGCAGCCACCGTCACCACCAGCCGTGTACAGGGCCTTCTTCGATATTCCGCAGTTATTCAGCACTGTGCGTGTAGCCCCGGTACACGAGATATCCTTGGAGCAGGGGTCTTTTTCACAGAATGGGAAACGGTAAGAAGTTGTCTATTTTCTCAGTCCCTACGCCCCTCCCATCCCTTCTTCTCGCTCTCCGGTGCTGTTCTCCATTCAACCTGTCAAAGCTAATCCATGACAACCAAAACAGACAACTAAGCGTAGTGACGACCCACGATGCGACCGTGCCTATGCTGAAAGCGACCTACGTGAGGTGGGATACGAGTCTGGCAGCCGTGCAAGACGTCCCGGGTATCGTCTGGTCGATCTCTCTGGAGCCACTACCTCCTGCTATCTACGCGCGGGCGCCTGCAGGCCATAATGTGTTGGGACTGCCGTCCGACTCCGAACAAGCGCTCGTGGTGACTCTACTGAGCGCCACCTGGGATAATGCGGCCGATGACGCCCGCGTGGAGGAAGCCGCCAAGACACTGTTTGCAGGCATTGAGGCGGACGCACATGAGTTGAACGCATATCATCCATTTGTTTATCTCAACTACGCGGCTCAATGGCAAGATCCGATCGCTAGTTATGGGCCTGAGAGCGTCGCGCGGTTGCAGCGCATTAGCCGGGAAGTTGATCCCACCGGAGTGTTTCAGAGGATGGTGCCGGGAGGGTTTAAGATTCCGCAGTGATGTGGATTGTTTGAATTTGACGGATGGTCTGCGTGTTCTACTGAATTGTTGCATCTGTCCCTCTCTCCTGATACGGTCTTTCAGCTGTTGTTCATAGCCTTCGCCAAATCATCAAACCCCTGTCCATTACGGAGTACTAATCTAATCAAGCGATCCTAATTAGAGCTCCAGTTAGCAACCAATGAAACCACCAACACGGTGGGGATTCGGGACCCCCCGGAAAAGTAGACAAAGAATCAATTGGAACTAGAGAAACCCACCAACAACTCCCTCCTCCCGGACACCACCTCGCCAAACAATTGAACAGGGCACTATGCCTAATCAAAGATGGTTTTCCCAATGGCTGCATACCGGGAGGCCTGTACCAAGGCGACTTCCACTCTAGGTCGACCCCCTTTCTCTTTGTTCATGCTCCCCAGCCTTGCAGGTAACTAGCGAAGCACTATCTGTTAGGAAAAGTACGAAAAGAGCACTGGCACCAGTGACGGCAGGATCAAACAACCGGACCAGGCCGTCTTGTGGGCCAGTCAATCCGCACGGTCCAACCAAAGCTTAGGGAACCTTGTTGAGACCTGGCACAGTGTAGGTGCATATATAGAAGCCAATGAACATACTTGTCACATTTGTGATCGCCGGCACTAATTGCTGACTGAAAGTGAGGCAGAAGAGGGGGTGTCACCAGGTTACTATCCGTCCTCTCCTACATTGAAGCTACTGGTATGGATGAGGCTGACTTTATCATGAATGTGTTGCTGGGGGCGTGGCAATAGGCGTCGTGATGATGTGTATCGACCGCATCAGAATATAGGGAGCATTTCAACCGTATAGTGGAGCTCAAAATGATATCAATAAACACACCCTAGCCATAATTCAATACAGAATGTGAAAAATGCCCCTAGACAAGAGAATAAACTAGACACGCTCAACATGATCCACGGATTGCTTATCCCCATCATCGTTCGCTTGCCCCTTAGCTAGCTGCGGAATCCCCTGCCGCACTTTCTCCTCTTCCGTGGGATATGCATGTCTCCACATGGTCCACAACGGTCTCTGGAACAAATCGTCAATACTTTCAATCGACCTTCCTTTCAATTCAGGGAGACAGAAGTAAATAAACACCACTCCGGCGTATGTCAGCATAGCATACAGAAGAAATACTCCCCAGCCCATGTTCGTGATCATGTCTGGTGTGGCTCGAGTGATACCGTAGTCGACAATCCAGTTGACGAAGAAGCAGAAGCCCATACAGACGGATCTCTATTAGGGAGTCAATTACACGGTTACACGAGAGAGGCCCAGCGATGTATACGTACGATTCTGGTCGGGAATATCTCTGCCGCCACGATGTAGCAGGCCACACTATGCCCAAATGACCACCCGAAGGCATAGATATAGATCCACACTATTCCAACAATGCCTCCCGCTGGTGTTCCACCGACGGTGCTTGTGTTTGTACCTGCGAAGCGGAGGTAGAGGGCAAGGTAGAGCATGGCGGTTGCTTGGAGAACGGCACCGACGAGAAGTGGTCGACGACGACCGACGCGGTCGACTAGGTAGGTGACGTAGAAGATTGTAACGACGAATTTGACGACTCCGTAGACGCCTGTAGTGAGGAGGCTGTTCGATGTTCCGTTTACGCCGATAAGTTCGAATATCTCTGGGGCGTAGTACTATTGTGAGTTTTGTCACTATGGAATGTGATGGAGAGTGAAAGACACTTCTGGACTCACATTCAAGGAATCAGTGCCGGTAAACTTGTGGAAAAGGAATAACATAACGGCAAGAAAAAACCGTCGTGCGTTGCTCTTGATGAAAATGATGTCTTGAAGAACGACCCAGTAGCTGTGTCCTTGATGACATTCTTGCTCGAACCTGACCTGGGCAACAATTTCCTGATATTCCGTCTGGATATACGGATGATCAGCAGGAAGCTTCCTCAACCGACAGAGATTCTTCAGTCCCTGCTCTTTCTTCCCGTGGTTAAACAGATACCGAGGTGTTTCAGGAACAAAAGGGATCATCAAGCACATCAAGACACCAGGAATCAACTGGATTCCCATTGCCGTTCTCCATTGGGTGTTGTCTTGCTCAACACCGGGAAATGACCACAAAGAAACTCCGTAGTTAATCCAGAAGGCGACCATCAATCCCGCTAGAATCATGAGGTTGTACATGGCTGTTGCCGACCCTCTCACCGATTTGGGTGAGTTCTCAGCCAGAAACTGTGGAGACAGCATCGAACTGGCCCCAACTCCCATTCCACCGATGAAGCGACCGGCAATGAGTACTTTGTAGTTGGCAATCATTTGCATCACGCCACCGATAACAAACACAAACCCCCATAAGAAAACAGACCACTTGCGGCCTAGGAAATCGGCGGTTGGCGCTGCACAGAGAGAGCCAGCTGATCCGCCGGCTGCGAGCATCGCTGCAATAGTCCCCTATTCCTGTCAGAATTTTCCATTGCGTTAAGGGAGTATGCGAGTATGGTACCTTGCGGCTATCAAGCTCCGCAGTAGTCAGCTTGTCGAGCCCAAATGCATGTTCGAATGATGGTAATGTCAGGATGCCCCCGATATTTCCCGTATCGAAGCCATAAAACCAACCAGCCCAGGCAAGGGTGATTAAAAGATAGGCTAGTCTTCCATTGAAGATTTGTCTAGGATCAGTTCTGGCTTCCTGGCTCGCCCAGATGCTGGTTCCTCCAGCCATTGAGATGTGACTTTAGATTAGGGCAACAATTAGATGATAACACGTTTGAACACTTGAGCATGCAATGAAAAGAATCTTGGCCCTGCTCAATGTGAAACCCAAGGTACGACTCTCCCCACATAGGACAAAATACACCCTTGTTGCTACCGAAAATGGGCTCCATTATATGGAGGGGAAGCTGCGCATGATCGCAGCCCCTCTTGGACTGTTCCGGCATGATCTGCATTACCCCAGAGCGATAGCTGTATTGAATCCGGGGTAAATGCGGGGATCAGTCCAAGCTATGCTCTGTAGCCGATCGTCGGACTGTCCTCCGAGCGTCGAGGGCTCGTCGGCGCTGGACCGAAAGGCCTGGGTCCTTTGTGGAGATCAGCCAATCAAAGCACTTTCATTAAGTCATCATGTTGGAGCTCTGGAAATAAGAGAGAGGGATTTGGACCAGAAGCTCAGATGTCTTGACCACAAATCTAAGCCAGTCTGTTTTTGTTGACGATGGCTGCCATATTCCCTTCAGACAGTTCAATCCGTTCCGTGGACAAACCCTACTTCTACCGCGAGGCATACCTGCCTGCGCCCACGGTACAGAGCCATGCATCTAATCTACTCCGAATGCCAAATGGCGACCTGCTATGTGCCTGGTTTGGCGGAAGTCTAGAAGGAAAGCCCGACATCAGCATATATCTTTCTCGGCTGAGATGCGGGGAGAGTGAGTGGACGGAAGCGTCCAAGATGACTCACGACAACACCCGGAGCGAGCAGAATCCTGTTCTCTTCCACGCACCGACCGGAAAATTGTGGCTTCTTTACACCTCCCAGCATGCTGGAGACCAGGACACGGCCATTGTCAAGTATCGGGTGTCCACCGATAGCGGCACCACATGGGGCGATGAGAAGGTCTTGTTCCACGATACCGGTACCTTCATCCGGCAGCCAGTGGTTGTTCTTGAGGATGGAGCTTGGGTAGTTCCAGTTTTCAAGTGTCGTGTGCAGCCGGGAGAGCGATGGCTGGGGAATGATGACATTTCCTGCATCCGCGTGTCGAGGGATCAGGGTCGTTCCTGGAGTGAATCAGAGATTCCCGAGAGCACCGGGTGCGTGCACATGGAGATCCAACGACTAAAGGATGGATCGTATCTGGGCATGTTCCGCAGTCGCTGGGCCGACAACGTCTACCTGGCCACTTCGTCAGATGGATTAGTGTGGAGTGCCCCGCAGCCGACCCCCCTCCCAAACCCGAATGCAGGCATCTGCTTTGATGTACTGCCTTCTGGTAGGGTAGTGTTGGTTTACAATCATTCTTCCAAGCGTGATGCTTTAGGAAGAAGACAAGGCCTTTATGACGACATTGCTGATGGGGTGGACGAAAGAAAGAATCAGGCATCAGCGAAGGACGGCAGGGAGTCGTTTTGGGGGTCACCAAGAGCTCCCTTGTGTGTTGCTTGGAGCGATGATAAGGGAAGCACATGGAAGCACCGAATACTAGAGGAGGGAGATGGGTATTGTTTGACGAACAACAGTGAGAGAAAGCTCAATCGAGAGCTGTCGTATCCCAGCATGATCTGTGCTGATGGGACGATCCACATTGCGTATACATTTTGGCGACAGCGGATCAAGTACGTGCAGCTCAAGGAAGACTTCTTTGACGATGGTCCGGCTGGATGGTTGTCAGGCTCCATTAGAAGGATATCGACAGGACTTGGACTAACGGGATAGGTGCTGCCACCACGGATCAGGCATACGGGTTTAGATATGCCTCATTGTAGATATGCTTACTGATAGTGATACTATTGCGATAGATTTACTCACAAACATTGAATGATAGACTTCTTTACGAAGCATGTAGAGCAGCCATCCGGTTCTCCATCGTTCCGATTTCCCTCCTATGCTGCTGAATCAAGTATGACTGGCAAAGTGGCAGCCGTGGCCTTCATAGCTTGGCATCGTACATATACTGTCGCAGATCATTTTATCTTCTTCGTGGTTACAAAGTTAAACAACGGGATAGTAGGCTTGGTTTCCTTTGATGATCAAAACATCAAATCTGCTTTCATTACAAGTATAAGACCAAAGTACATAACAGCTGTAGTAGTTCACTAGTATTTGCAGCTACTCGTAGATATCCATAGCACCCTCAGTAACGTCGAACATAATCTAGCTATGAAACAGCATCCTTCTATTATAGCCTATCTGTCCACCGCCTTTGCACATCTGGCAAAGAACTCTCAATATCTACAAGATGCTTCATCACACCGATTACCCATTCCTGCGTTGCTGCTGATGATGCTTTATACGGCTTTCGAGGGAGGAATGCTGCTTGGTCCGTCACTCCTGCGACTGGTCCGGCAAAATGTGCAGCGGCAAACTTGGTGGGTGCAATGCCTTCCTTGCAAGCCTTTTCGGCCTGAGATATCAGCCCCTGCAAGTTTCTCGCTTCTTCCAGCTGCCCGGCCTCCCACAAAGAAAATAGCTTGGCAGTTGATTTCGGGAAAACATTAGCAATTCCTGTCACGCAGCCTGATCCGCCGCCGCTGAGACAAGGGATGAGCCAGTCAGATGAACCAGCATATACCCCGAACTGTTCATGCGTATATTCTTGAGTTAACCGGGTAACCTTGCCAGCGTTACCACAAGTCAACTTTACCCCGACTATGTTGGGATGCTGCGCCAATGTGGACATGACATCCGAGTTCATATCCACCCCATTGCAGACAGCTGGAAACTAAAGGTCCTAGTTCAGCCCACTTTCATGAATGCATCATGCGTGGAAAGAGAGCTTACGCTGTAAATAACGATTGGAAGAATGTTGCTGTCTGCTACCTCCGTGTAGAAGTCCAGAATGACGTCTTTTGTGACTGCTTTAGGCCAATAGCTGGGCGGCAGAAGTAGCCCAAAGTCTGCTCCTGCCTCACGAGCGTCCTCAGCCAGGCGAAGAGATTCGTTGGTTGATTGCCCACTAATCCCCGCCACTAGTGGAAAGTCACCCAACCCCAAATCCACAGCCGCCCGTCGAGCAGTTCTTAACAACTCCTTTCGTTCAGTTGACGACAGCAGAACCGCCTCGGCATTTGTGCCAGCGAGTACGAGCCCGGCAATCCCACTCCGGATGAGATGCGTGAAGAACTTGTAGGAAGCATCGTAGTCGATCTCCTGCCGCGGTGTCCCTTTGAACAAAGAGACTACTGGGCAGTATATGCCCGGAGGCAACGGTTTGCTCTTGTGGGGAATTGCTGAGGTCATGGTTGTGATCTGGAATACTGTTCAATACTACAAACTACTAGTGTCTTTATAACAAACCACTCGGGCTTCTCCCGACAAGACCGGGATAAACATAACCGACAATGCGGGGTAACCAGGCTGAACGCTCAACAACCCTCAGGAACATCAGACAAATGAAATTTTAGCGATATCAAAAGCGCTACAATTCGACATGGTCAAGCGCAAGCGACAGGCATCCACAACGGAAGTCGACGGCCACAGGGAAGAAGTCGCTGGCTCCCTCACGCCAGCCTCGGCGAGCTCCCGACAGCAGCAAGGCACACTGGAATATCCCGGTCGGTCTGAGTCGCCTGCCCGTCAAGACGCGGAGAGAAGCCCGCAACAACCCGCAGCAATTGCATCGCTGGTCAATGTCTTGCCCAGTATCACCCGAAAGGTCACTGCATGTGTGGCCTGTCGGAAAAACAAGGTGAAATTTCGGTGTCTAAGAGGTTATATCGCTCAATCTAATACTCACGCCTTAGACAAAATGTGATATGCCAGAAAATGGTCCACCTTGCGTTCGATGTCGCCGGCGATCACTGTCTTGTGTACTGAATCGAAGTCTTCAATCTCTGGTTGAAGATACCAAGTCAGTTTCTCCCTCTTCCACCTCAAGCTATGTAGTCTAAACTTGTATGCTTTACAGAAATGTCGAGCACCTGAGGACCGACGTACAGAATCTGCATCAGATCATTGACACCATCTGCCAGACATTAGACCTTCAACGCCCAAGACCACTTCTAATATCAGCAAATGATGGAAATGAGGAGGGAGCTATTACAGAAATCATCGGGCCAGACCGTGAATGTGACGCTTGTCCAACGGAAGGATGCGAAGTATCCCCACCAGAGTCACCCACAGCGGTGCAGGCTCCTATTGATACCTTCCTCGATATCGCCAAACATGGAACTCCAAACGCCACGAAGATTCCACCAGGTGTCACTCGCGCTACTAGCCGAGTGGATCTCATTAGTAAAGGCATTATCACAGTCGAAAGAGCAGAAAACCTACTGCACCGCTACTTCTCCCGTCTAGATCACTTTCTCTATGGCATCTGTAATGAGAATCAGGATATAACCCATCTACGCAAGGAATCTCCAACACTCCTCGCTGCCATATGCACTGTGTCAGCCCTCCATGACCCCCACGACCAGGAAACCTACGAAGCGTGTAACCGCGAGTTTCGCTCCCAGGTTGCGCGGTCTCTATTTGAGAAGCGTGACGTGGAATATCTACGAGCCTTGTGTATTGCTTCTTTTTGGCTTGCAGACGCTTCACGTATCTTGTCTAGTGATGGCATCCGTCGAGCAGCTGATATGCGTCTCCATCGCAGTTTCGACTCTCTTCTTGGCATTCATCCGCCCGAGTATTCCTCCCCATCAAGCGCGTCACCAATAGTTGCAGCAGATCGCATTCGCCTTTGGTATCTATTATTCGTCTGCGATCAACACCTCTCGATCCTCCACAACCGCGACTCACTTCTGCGGAATGATAAGGATATTGCGGTGAGCTGGGAATCATACTTACATCGCGCAGAGGCAACTGAGTCAGACGTACGAATTCTGTCGCAGGTGTCGCTGCTTTTAATCATGGGCCAAGTTCGAGATGTCTTGGGGTCCGACAAGGAGTTGCAGCTGCCATCGGCCCTTACTCATCAGATTACGAATTACTCACGACAACTCGACAGGTGGTTTACCCGGTTTTCTGCCCTCTTCGTCACGAATGCGCATATCGGGGAATTTCCCAGGAGAGGATTGGAGCTGCACTATCAGTTTGGGAAACTATACCTTGGCCATCAAGTCTTCAAGGGGCTCCGTGGCAATCCTATCCCCCTTTCTTTTCTATCCGCGGCCCAAATGGCTCACGAGGCGACCGTCACCATTTTTGAGATGATCTTAAATGATCCCCAGATGAGCGAGAATCTCGTTGGCATGCCGCACTATTTCCATGTAATGATCGCATTTGCCGGCCACTTGTTACTGGAGATATGTCACAACCATCATGTGCAATTAAACATTGATCTACGCGGAGAGCTTCACCTCATTAGTGCGGTGTTAGGGGTCTTTCGCCGGATAGAATGCATCACATATCACCCATTGCGCCGAATGGCTCCTGGGCTGACCCGGAAGCTCTCCGAGACGGTCACCCTGTTAGGACTGGATGGTATGTCTGGAACTAGCCACACTGGCAACATCTTGCCTCCTGCGGTTCAGCGTGCAGAGATAGCTGGTGATGCAGGACACTCAGCCCAGGCCTTGGGCTCTATGAACAATATGTTCCTACTGGGCTCTACCGAGCCTCCTGTTGATGATTTTCTGTTCACGGATATGGGGGAATTTACCTTTCCTGATCTAGTGTCGAGTTTCATGCCGTAGGTATGGCAGGCTGGGAAGATGATGTTCAGAGTCGTTTGCGATGATATATATATCCAATAATTTCTTCAATCTACTTATCCACTGTTTGTATCAGCACATAGTAACCAAATTGTCCTAGTTGTATCTCACTGCTTCAAGGCGCACAGACTATTAAACCTCCTGCTTCGGACGTATTTATATAGCCTGCACTGGGAGAGGCCTATACTCTTCCTCAAGTAGCCTAACCTCCTCATCAGATAGTTCAACACGCAACGCCTCTCCCGCCGACTCAATTCTCTCCATACTATTCAACCCCACAATCGGACACGCGCCCTTCTTCAACAACCACGCAATAGCAACAGCACTCATACTGCACCCTTTCACCCTTGCCAACTGCTCCACCCGTGAAACAATAACCTCATTCTGCTCCCCAGAGAACCACTTAACCGTCTTCTTATCCTGACTAGACCGATACGTCTGCGCATTCCACGGCCTAGCCAATAACCCACGAGCCAACGGACTCCAAGGAATCAGCCCCATCCCCTCAGCCCTACAGAACGGATTAACCTCCCGCTCCTCTTCCCGGTAAAGCAAGTTCCACAGCCCCTGCATACTAGTAAACGTCGTCCAATTATTCATCTTCGCCGTGTACTGCAACCGCGCCAACTGCCAACAGTACATGCTCGACGCACCCAGATAATGAACTTTGCCCATCCGAACAAGATCATGCAGTGCACCCATAATTTCCTCTGGCTCGGTATCATCCAGTCGATGTAGCTGTAACACATCAATATACGTCGTGTTCAGTCGCGCAAGTGACCCCTCCACCGCGTCGAAGATGTGTTTTCGACTCAGACCCATCTGATTCACCAGCTCACCGTCATTGATGGCAGGATTGGGTCGCGATGGAGAATCCGGGTCGAAGACAGGATAGTATAGCTTGGTCATGATCACGACCCTGCTTCGTGGGATGTTGTATTTCGCCAAGGCTTTAGCAATTAGAATCTCTGATGTCCCGTTTGAGTAAGAGTTTGCTGTGTCCCAAGTGTTGATTCCGCTGTCGTAGGCTTTCTTGAGTAATGGGAGGGCTTCGTCTTCCGGAAGTACCCAGGGACTGCCTTCCCAGGCAGGATTGCCAAAGGTCATGCATCCGAGGATGATTTTGGAGGTTTTGAGGCCGCTTTTGCCAAGACGTTGGTATTCCATTTTGTTGTTATACGAATATTACCGCTTTGAATATTGCAGTATGATCTATGTGCAATGGTAGTAGCTGTGGCTTTGGTCCATGATGTTTAAATTATTTCGGTCTTGATCGTCATCAATGTCAGGGAGAAACCGGGGAAGATTCGTTGAGAGGTCGGAAAGATTCCCGGTGGGCGGGGGAATCCGTACTACTTTCGGGGTTTTCTCCGCAATGAACATTTTGGCTTGGGTTTCTACTATCCCAGTCAGGTCTATTATTTTCAACCATCGATATTTATTAATAGATTAGTTTAGAAGGGTAATTCCACAGTATCTTCTGTGGCAAAGATTAACACATGGTTGATAAACTCTATTCACAAATGCTCTTCGTGTTCTTGAGATGATGGGCTTCCCAAAAGCCCTCACACATTGGCGTATCATGTCAAAAGGGAGCGAGCCCAGTGACAGAACAATGGGTTATTCCACGATCCATTTTCTATTCAAATTGATATTTATTGGGATGGGACGCCCGGTGATGTGATTTAACTCAGCCACGATGGACTTTTTCCAGATTTGTGGCAGCATATTCAGTTGTTGTACTAGTCTATTCACAGTGACTGATACTTCCCACCCCGAGCCCACCTTTGGGTAACACTAATGCGTTGTTCCACAATGTGCTTATTTTCTGGTGAGCATTCAATTCTGATTACTGAGCCCCTGAACCTCCCAGCCCCTCATTCATAGAGCAATGCTGGATTATTTCTTCACTATATAAACCCCTCTTGAACACATTGTCCAAGCTAACATATCTTTGCATCAGCCAAAGACTGTTCTGACAGAATCCATCATGACAAAATGGAACAAGTGCGCACCAGAGTGATAGAAAAATTCAGTGACACCTTCAACGCAGTTGCAAAGCATCAAGCCGCGTGGATTGAGCCTGATATTCAGAAAGATCTCGGTGTTATATGTGAGGATCTGCACATCACAACAGCTGGAACTCATCAGGATAAGCTCTCGCCAGTCTTCTTTAATCCTCTTGGAACGCACAATATCCCCAGACTTGACCTTACCGATGCTCAAACCCGAGAATCCATCAACGACATCACCGAAGATTGGGACAGCCCCCCTCCGTGGCCACGAACAGTAACTGATCAGCTTTACGAGTTAATTTACGCCATTGAATACTACTTCAGGGAAGGCAGTCGCGTTTATGAATCAGAGTATGGGTGGTCTAATACGTTGTCACATTACGCAAAGTGGGTCGAATGGTAAGTCATTCCTCCCTGGGTAGACCTTGAGTCTGTACACCTTTATTCAAAGAAGCAATCCCAAGCTGACAAATTCACATGAAGTGGGGGGATTACACCGCAGCTCGTCGCCGAAGAATTTGATCGCCCAATATGGGGATCGCGTGGATCAACACCATATCTCGGTTATGTAGCAAGGAACCAGCTCAACATGCCCCATACCCTGCTCGCAACGCTAACACGGTCAGAGGCGAATGAGAAGCTTTCGAGGTCGGAGGCTTTGACCATTTTGACCGTCATGTTAACTAGGCTGAAGAGTGACGATTTTCCCAACCACAGTGTCATACCTGTAAGTAGCATCTCAGCCTCAGCCTTCTAGCTGCTCTTCTTTGAAAAGCTCACCCATCTTACTCAAAAAATAGATAATGTTGATAAGTGTCTTCGCCGGATTCCAGGTCAGGGTTCTAGAGGCCCACTACGATTTCAGGGGACTCGTCATTCGAAAGTCTAAATTCCTAAGCTTCGCGAACCGAGACGCGGCGATTCCGAACATGGATATCTTGATGAGTTTTATGTGTTCCAAAATGATCGGGAACACAAAGAATTTGAGAGTCCTCACGAAAGTGGGTCCTCAGAGATCATTGCAGTGACTTTTGTGACGAACTAACAGCCCCCTTACAGCCAGGAGCTGTAGTTCCTGAACCCTCGGGCCATATTTCATACCGGGATAACAGAGGTCGATTTCCTGGGTCAGAGAAAATTGCAGATCTGTGGCGAGCTGCGCGTGCCCCATTCAGACCTCCCAATACAGCCCCGCAAGACGTGGCCGACACCTCGTCAGAGGGAACTCTTACATCCGGGAAACGTCGGGCTCGCTAGTACCTATCACTTTTACTTTCTGCCAACTTGGTCACACTATTGCAGCGGGGCAAACAGGGCCCATGAGGTAGATCAGATATAAAATTTATATAAAAATACTGAATGAAAAAAGCGTAGGCAGCTGAACACATCTGTACTGGGTTGTGATCTCCTGCTTTCGTTTCTCTCTCTCTCTCTTCCACACATGTTCCCGTCATAGCCAAGAGATAAGCCACATAGTTCGATATGCCGGTTATTCTGACTTGCGCCCAAATCAGTGAAGCCACATAGCTCAGACTGCCTGGTAGGGCGATGAAACCTGTACACTTGGAATTTGTAGGTAAGACGACACGGCTCGTAGTAACTCAGATTTTCGTGTGTCGTCTCGCCCCTTATATGCCTCACCATGATGGTACCCACACTGTTGCTACTGTGAGCAATATCCATACTTTTTGAAGAGGAATACTTCCTACATATCCTTCATCACAACTACCCTCCTGTCCAACAGTCCAATATAACGTCTCTAGTGGGTCTGTACGAAATGAGGGGAGGGACTGCAAACACACAGCACCCGAACTGGGTTGAAGACAAATCGGCCTTGTTAGGCCCAGAAGCTATATATAGTGGTCATTCGCTGCAGCCTGCAGTACAGGGATACGTCCGGAAATCAACTTTCTACGATAGTATTTCAAGCTCATGGTACTATGAAACAATACACAAATTGATACTTGACGGTGTCAAGCTCACACTAAAACAACAAGTCACAGCGGGCTGTGTTGATATTTGAGAGCCCCCGTCCTTTAAAAAAGACCGGTTGACATAAGGTCACACTCTCTGCCAAATGCTCTCGCACTATATATAGAGACTTCCTTGAACGGTTCAATCCGGCATATTTCTGAAAGCATGGATTCCGCCATCGGGGGGAGGAGGGTAGTAGGAATCATCGGACTTCTCCACATCAATTATGTTACATGGTAGTCAGCTGAGAAGAAGAAATAGTAAGCCACCTATTACGTCTTGATCTACGTCAGAGTAATATAAGACGGAAGATACGAAGCGGACACTTAGTTCAATTGTATAGAAAGAGAACGGTTATATAAAAGCAGTTCAACTGTTGGCTTGAGCGATCAAAATCGCTGCAATGACAATCTGGGCGAAATGCACAATATGAGAGGAATTTTCCGCATCCCAGGGCCCAAATGTCTCCATAACCAGAAATTCTTCGGTGGCTTTGTTTTCCTTGAGGTAATCCTCTAATTCCTTCTTGTACTTTGCACAGGTCAGGAAGATCTGGTGCCGATCTTGGGAGAATAGAAGAAAGCTACGTGAGAATCAATAGTTAGTTACTTCTCCAAAGAAGCCTGCCATTCGAGCTGACTTACTGGTCGTTAAAACAGGCCAAATTTGGAGATGTCATCAGCCATGCGACGAGCTCGCAGGCTTCTTGCGCGATGATAGCCGGTTTTGACCTGTCCCGCATGGTCCTCTTAGTCTCGACTATCGAGAAAACATCGGAATGTTTTGTAGAGCGTAGCACGCCGTCCGTGTAGGCGTTATATTTTCGCTCCCCGCCAAACTTTGCCAGAAAGTGAGTCCTGTTGAGCACCCATTCAAGGCCTGTGTCCTCTACCAAGTGGGTAATTTGTTGAAGCAGCACGAGAAGTGCCGCATTCGGTGTTGCCTCATCTTCGGCATCACTGTATTCTTCGACTGCTTTCCCGCAGGCTCGTCTGGTTCGATCGTGCGTCCCTTCAACCGTGGCTGTTTGCTCCTGCAGCCGCTTTGCTGCCATGAATGATCCAGGCCAAAGGTTATCTTGTGTTTCCCTCAGGCTGTGGGTCGGTATCTCCTCCTCAATAGTCCTGATATACCTCTTCCAGTCTTGGGAATGACTAAGCAAATTTGCAGCCTGTCCCATCAGAGCGTCATCGAAGCCAAACTTGGCCATCTTCTTGCCGAATTTGGCGGGAGCTAAGGTCCCAGGCGAATAGCAGCGTAGCATCACATATTGCATGTTGGATGGTCTTGAAGCAGACCCAAACAAATCTTTAGGTAAGGTATTGATCGTTAGATGCTGCAACCCGCCTGCCTGCCTAAGTTTTTTCCAACCTTGCGGAGACAGTGGGATCTCAAAGTTCTCGATCTTTCCCAGTGTTTGTGGGGACTTCTTCCGTACTACCTTCTCGACCTTGGGAGGACTGTCATCCTTTGGACGCTTGGTATTCTTGAAGACAGGCATCTTCAAGTGGATTGAGAGATGAACGTAGCAAACCCAAGTACAAGAGACCGCGCAATAAAAGGAACCTTACAAGAAAGGATAATGATGAAAATGTATGAAAAGCAGGGAAGCTCGATAGGAGATGACATTTGTGCTCTATCTGACGGTCGCTCTCAACAACCCAGTTTGGGTGCTGTGTGTTTGCAGTCCCTCCCCTCATGTCGTACAGACCCACTAGAGACGTTATATTGGACTGTTGGGCAGGAGGGTAGTTGTAATGAAGGGTCTGTAGGAAGTGATCTAGGTTGATAATGTATATCATTCGCACTCGCGAGATGCGGAGAATCATAAGGGCTGGTGCCTTTCCACATGAGCCCACTCCACTTGGATCTTTGACGTAGACCTTTATTGTGTTGATATTAACCGTGCAGACCGTATATGTCCAGTGTAGCCAGAAATTACCCGATCCTCTACCATCTGTGTATATGTGGTCTCTTTCTCGGACCATCACCACCGGCACATAATCTTACGAGCATAATATATCACAGTATACATACAACCAAATAAGCCCCTGTTCTTTGTCTCCGCATTTAATGTCATTACGGCAATGAATATTCGAGGCTTCTATACAGACTGCCTGATTGGGGTTAATACTTGAATACGGACTTGGAAGTGAATTCGCTATTGTTAAATTCAATTATTCACATAACTATTAGTGAATTAACTCTATACTCCACAATTTCTGGCCTTTCGGGTAAGATAGTGCAGGTGTAAATCTTCTTGCCATGTTCATCAACTGTCTAATAGAGTTTTCCCATCTGAGCATTCTTGTATAAGGCTTTGACATCCCCTCACTTGCACGATGTTTACTACGATGCTGAAAGGCCTCACAATACTAATACTTATTCTGACCGTCTACTTCAAAACCTCTCAATTTTGTCTGCGCAGAATAACAATATTCAAGACACCTCAGCAATGCCGTATGATCATCGCTGCAGATGGTCAGTTCATCAGCAGAAAGAATCAGTTATCACCCTACGCGTCTCGCGCCCTCTCCAACTCCAGATTCAAAAGGGCGTTCTGCATCCAAAATGCGTTCACAAGCTCCGAAGAAGACTTTGTGACCCAGCACGTGAGGAATATCAAAGTGCTCATAAATCTCACACCTCTTCAATGGAGTCACCTGTCCCAGTCTCTCCAAGAGTCAGCACGCTACTGGGTTAACTCATCAGAGGGTACAATCCACTTGGCCAGTATTACTCAGACTCTTACTTTGAGGTTGGTGCTGGTAGGGATATTCAAACTAGAACCTATGATTCCACCTTCTGTAGACCTCTTCTTCGCCGACTTTGCACGGTGCATCAATGAATCCTGGATCTTAGCTAAAGGGACTGATGCCCTTTCATTTCATGAAAATGAAGAGCTACGGGAGTGCGTCACTGCTTTCTTTCCTTCATCTGATCAGTTTCAGCCCGACGAAAATCCGTTAAATGTGGTCCTTCCGGGCTATGAGAGCAGCTGGAGGGTGGTGCTACGCATGTTTCTCGAGATTAGGCGTGCTCAAAACGAGATTTGGGTGGATAAGATGGTGAGCTTTGCACTGCACCCTACAAAGGTGCAGTTCCAGGGCGATGACGACGGTATTTCAGTCGAAGCAATGGTACTCGAGGCTCTTCGTCTGTATCCACCTACCCGACGCATCCGCCGAACATTCCGCTTCGAAGATGGCAGGAATGGTGCAGTTGATGAGACCTTTGCAGCAGATATCGAAGCCTGTCATCTGGACAAGAGTATCTGGGGAAAAGACGTCCTGGAATATAAGCCATCGAGATTCGCTACATTGACCGAGGAACAGAAGGAAGCTTACATGCCCTTCGGCATCTCCCCCTTTCTATGTCCTGCAAAGCCTGTCTTCGGGCCCAGGATGGTAGGGATGGTAGTCGGGATTCTATTTCTTGCATTGCAGGAGGTAGGGAGCTGGAGGCTTGTTGGAAGGGATAAGCACTCTGCTAATGACTATGTGTCTGGTGAGCGATTGAGCAATGATCGCAGTGCATTTGATGATTTGTTTTTGTATCTCAACGAGGAGATGGATGGCTGACTGGTGTTGAAACTTTTGCCTCGCATTGTCTTTATCACGTGCACATTTCTGCTAGGGCGATTTTACTCATCTTGGGGAGATGAAATATTTTTTGTTTCGCTGGAGTTGAAGTTGGGATTCTTTCGTCTACGTTATGTTACTTTTCACGCTCTTCCTTTCTTTGTTTTCGGGCTCTTATTTAGATGGCGTTTACCGATTGAAACCTAGCTCGATAACTATCTTGGTACAAATGCGATGTCTTTTCTCGAAACGGCTTCTAATAACTATTCCAACATTTTGGTCAAAGTAATTTCCGGGGTCATTTCCGGGGGACAACCGGTCTGTCCATTCCCCTAGGTTAAAGTGCGAGCCAGTGAATGCGGGAAAAAACCGACCCAGTCCTCAACGATGAAACCAAGACCCAACTCTCCCTTATTTCCTATCCCATACTTTCATAATCCACCACAAAGCTAATCCACTCTAAATGGCACTGCATATAACGGCCTCCATCAGAGCACCGCCTCCACAACCTGCCCACCGCCACTATTCGTAGTGATATACAACTTCTTCCTCATCCCCTCCTTTTCAACAACATGCACCGAAGTAGGTCCACGAACCACCTTTGTAAACAACACCTCGACATCACCATCAGGACTAATTGTGCCGATCGCACTCCCATTCGGACCTCCCATAGCCACATAGACCGTTCCCTCCTCATCAAAA